GGATTCTTCGGCTTTGGTGGAGTGACAATTGGGCTTACCCATGGTGTTGGGCCTGTTACTGGTTCAATGATATCTAGTTCCATCAGCCTATCCAGTTCGGCATCGACTTTCTTGCGAGTATGGAATGGTTGTCGGCGATGTGGTTGGGCAACTGGAATTACATCTGGGTTGATATGCAGATGTACTTTGCTATCAGTATAACAACCTATGGATTTAAATCGATCAGAAAATTCAGCAACAATAGCATCAACATTGTTTGCAGATTCCACTGCTACAGCATTAGAAAGCTGAAGTAGCCCCAATTTGGTTGAGGTCTTGTAACTGAGTAGAGACTCCTTTGCATTCCTAACAACATGGAATGTAGTAGTGAGCATTGCACTCTTTGACTTAATCTCTGCAGTGAAAGTTCCAATCACTGGCAAGGCTACCTTTGAAGCATAGGCAGTGGCTTTGCCATTAAAGTTTTCAAGCTTTGGGAACTGTTTTTTAAATTTTTCATACTGGCACTCAGCAATTGTGTCAATGTTTCATCCAGTGTCAATGAGAACTTTGAGACAAATACCAGCAATGTATACTATAGTCTCTGGGTTGTTTGGAAGATCATTCCATTCTGTGATTGCTTGTACTCCATAAGTATAATCACATTAACTGTCATCTGAGATTGGTTGTAATGAAATGTTGTCTTGTACATTATTAACATTTTGGATATGATGTGCAATATTGTGTTTACCACCTCGACACCTATGACCTGATCCTCGTACAGTGCTTTTATTCATTTGTTACGGCCCTCTCGGGTCGCAACTGGGTTCTTACTCTGATGTTGTTAGAGGAAGGGTATCCGGCCCCAAGCCAGTAGTGGCTTTCAAGGGATGTGATCCGTAACGCAAGTAAATTAAAAGGGGAAGGGAAATAAAGTCAAAAACTTAATATAATATAATTAGCACCTTCACCAATAAATATATATAAGAAGATTACTCGGGGGAGGGTATAAACACTACACAGGGGTATTATCTACACTGTCGTCTTCGTCTGAAGACTCTGAATCTTCTCGATGCTCTCGTGGCCTCACGACGAATCCTTCGAAAAGCTGAGTCTACCCCGGCCACAGGCCAGCCAAAACACAGTTCCACTGGGGGCACCGCCATGGAGGCCGTCAACCACAACTCCAGCAGACAGCTGGCAAGTTCCGGATCAGCAACGCTGGTCAGGCCACTCCACGAGCGATACTAGGGTAACGCCCTAGTCAGGAGCCTCGTGTGATACCACAGATCACTCTCCTGTCCACAATACCCCAGTGGTTAAGCGTCTCCACCAGTCAGTCCCGGGTATGACAATCCTCAACTGCCGCTTCACAGGCAGGGTAACACCACAGTGTTCATCCGGGAGGCAACTCACAGCTGCTGCAGCAAAACACTTGGTGTCGAGACGGCTGCCTTGGGTAGACTGACTCAACTTTCCTTACAGCAGTCCCAGGTCGACTCTGTAAGCAGACACGTCATCAATAACAGGGACACACTAAAGCACCTCACTTACAGGCTCAGACCCAAACGCCCACCTATCCACTCCATAGATGGCGTTGTCGTCTGAGCACCACCTCACCAGAGGTCAGCAGCGGCTGTGTTGTGAGCTGAACAGGACTGGAAACTGGCCCTCGTGGCCAGTACACCTCGTCCTCACCAGGTGTCGTCGTCCATTTGGAGGAGGTTTCGGGAGCTGACCCACAGATGGCGTGGTCGTCACTGCTCCAGGCTCGGACGCTGGATTCGGGTCCGTAACATCATTGACTGTGGTTTCTTGAGTGCGGAACGACACATAGCACGAAAATGACCTAGTTTTCCACACTCATAGCACTTCTTACCTTGAGCAGGACAAACATTATCTTGGTGTGGGTAGTCTCCTCCACAATTGTAACATTTATTGTTGACACCCTCTGATGTGAGTCGTTGTGACTGCTTGAGTCTTGTTCCATGACTCCAGGTGTGATGTGGTTCTCGGCTCAATTTACTGTTAGGTTTGGCATGATATATTCTTTGATCACGGTGTCCTCCCTGAACCTTTCGTACCTCATCACTGTTAGTAACAGTGGCAGAACCGTTATTGGCACTGCACTCCATGACACGAGCATCACGTGCAGCATCTTCCATTCGACGAGCAATATCCAGTATCTTGGTAAGAGAACTTTCATCATCAACAAGTTCTAGAGCTCTTCGATGGAGACGTGTTGATGTGCATGTTTCAATTATTTGCTGTTTGATTTCTTTGTCAACATCAGCAAACTCACAATGGGTTGCTAAACCCTGCAGACGTGTGTGGTATTGATCCACAGTTTCATTAGAGAGTTGTTTGGCTCTCCTGAAATGCATAAATTTCCATTGCAGTATTTTGCCTTGGTTTGAAATGCTCTGTTAGTTTGGCTTTGGTAGTGTCATAATCTTTGGCACCACCAGTGTCTTTCAGTGTTTCAAAGATGTTTCAAACTCTATCACCTGCATAATGAAGTAGAAAGGCACGCTTTCTTTCAGCACTTTTGATGTCTGAAACTATCAACAAATTTTCAAACCTTTTAAGCCATTTGATCCACCTCTGTGACAGGTTTGTCTGGTCACAGTCAGGATCAAATGCAGGAAACTGAGGTATATTTGCCATTTTTTACTGAATATAAGTAAACTTATCACTTAAAATGTTCCTCAGAATACTAAACACTTACTGCACTGTATATGTTAGTTAAGAATTCACTGTAATTACTTTAATTTTGCAAAGCACACAAGCATTTTAATGCAAAAGTTCACAGCAGAGCACAATACAGCAGCAACTGACTTCTTACCTAGCCCTTGTGTACATGTGTTGTTCCTACTCACAGCAGCACAGCAGTTGGTGCAGCAGTTGGTACAGCAGTTGGTACAGCAGTTGGCACAGCAGTCAGTTCACTGCATGAAGAATTGTAGCACAGAGCGCGTTTCGTATACAAAATATCGGGTTTTGTATACAGCATCAAAGCGTCGTTTCGTACACTGCGTCGGCAGATTCCTCAGTACACAGCTTCTTCAGTCAGCACAGCTTGGGTTGCACACAGCATTGGTTAGCACACAGCATTGGTTAGCACACAGCATCGGTTAGCATACAGCATCGGGTATGGTGCTCACAGCTTCTCTTCCTCCTCCAGACAGAATGCTTCTCCCTTGTGTTTGAAGCTCAAGAAATACCTGCGTTCACAGCTCATCCTCATCGCCAATGTGGTGTTTGTGTGTTGCTGAGGAAGTCTTGGTTGTAGGGTTGATATAAAGTCATTGCTTGGTTACTGACTTTAATACTTATTATGATACATGACTAGTAGCTTCCAAGCTGGTAGCGTCCTGTACGCTCTTGTTTACCTTCTCTACTCTGGCGTCTCAGCCGCCGTACATAGAAAACGGATGGTACCATTTTCTGTGAACATGACAGGTATAAGGAAGCAGGAATTCATACAGTTGAGGAAGCTAACAGCAGTAGGGTGTTCAGGCTCGCAGAGGTCAATATTAAAGTCCCCTGCGATAATTAAATGGTTTTTGTTCAGTCTGTTATCTAGTATTAGATTTCTAAGGTTTGAGTTGAATTCGGACACATCAGTGTTAGGAATTCTATAGACTGCACCCACAGTCAGGACAGACTCAGCACCCTTGACTCTGAAACTGCCGAAGATATACTCCCCACAGCAGTCTATAGTTCTAATTACTTTTAAGCATGTTAGTTCTTGGTGGTAGTAAAGAGCAATACCACCACCTCTCTGAATTTGACGACAGTTGTGAATTGCCGAGTAGTTAGGCATGTTAAAGAGTTGAGTACTATCTTCTTTCAACCACGTTTCAGTAAGTATAATAAAAGAGAATTTGTTGTCAATAGTTTCAATCAAGGCGCTAACATCATCGAATGGTTTACCTAGGGATCTAACGTTCAAGTTGATTACAGAGATATTGTGATTATGTGTAAATACATTGTTTACATCATGTGCTGTAAAATACCTGCAATTTTGATCATTGAAGTGATGATTGTCATAGATAGTGGATAAGAGGTTTAGTTCTGGGTCTATACTTGTCTGCATAAAACGGCTGGTTGTAGGAAAACAAGGCAAGAATGGCTATTACAAAATAGAATTTTGATATAAAAGGGGGAAAAATATATAAACAAGCCTATACAAAACAAACATAAAATGAACAAAAAGAAAAGAAAAAATGAGGTAGCTTACAGGTACTCTCAGGTACACTGTAAGTAATAATTTGCATTTAAAGACAGAGGCAAAGCCAGGGGTACAATGGAGTAAGGGAGTATGGCGAGGCTAGGTAACCTAGGTAATAAATGAAATCAAAGAAAAAAGTTGAATAATAAACATAGGCAAATTTAAGCTAAAGATTATTAACTATAAGTAGTTTAGTTATGATCGTATAATTAATAAGACCTTAAGAAATATTAAAGTACTCAGTTAATTAAGTCCAATAAATGACTAGTAAATAGTAAATTAAAAATTAATTTAAAAAGTGTAACAGAGACTTAGGATACCTAGCCCGCAATAGGTGACAAGGGGGTTAATTATGTTGACTCATTGGGAGTGATACTAAGGTGAGACAAACCACATTGGGTGAGGAAAGTGTTGAGGTTATCCTCATTAGCAATTGTAAACATTTTACCTACTGAAGTCTTTCTCACTTTATTCAAGCCATCTCTGACGAAACACTGTTGAATCGCATCTGGGTTTTGATGACGGATTTGACGCAGGCGGTGGAGGAGTTGCTGTCTTTTTCTAGTCAAACACTCGTTGATGTAGATTCCCTGTCGTTGGGATGCAGCTGTCCGGACAATATGTAATTTCGTGGACTGGGAAGCCAGCTTCAGGCGAATTTTCCGCTGGTTTTGTCCTGATGGGTTCTTTTTGCCTACTCTGTAGGCAGCAATAATGTCTGCTTTGTTTAGAGTGACCTGCAATTGATTTTTTAAGAGATCCTGAACAATTTCAATACACTTTTTACCTTCGCTTTCCACTGGAATATCTTGGGACGACACAACTACAGAGTCAAGCAGTTTATGCTGATCTTGTTCATCCTGGGTGACGGAACGTTGGACGGATAATGTACTGGTACAAGCAGTCATTTTGCTGAGAGCTTCCTCTTGTTTTTTATGGCTTCATCAGATTTCAGACGAATGTTTTCCTCACGGAGATCATTCAAGTCATGCTGGAGTTGATCTTGGCTAGCCCTTAAGTTTCTAATATCCTCGTGGAGGAGGGTTATTTCTTGTTGTTGTTGATGGAGGTTCACACAGTTTGCTTGATTTTCAGTTTGAAGACTCTGGATAATCGCATTTTGAGCCTCAAGGACTGAGCACAACTTTTTGAACCACTAATTATCAGCCCAGTTAGGAAAATCCAGTGAGGGACCAGTAGCACGCTTGAATTTCGTAAACTGGGATGTAAGAGTGGTAATAGGAGAGGATTTTTTTTTCTTCTACCACAGACGTGGCCACACATTTACAATGCTAACCAGCATATATACATTTTCTTCTGTCCTCCATGGACAGGGTTAGAGAAGTGTTAAACATATAATTCAAGGGTTTATTGAACACTCAACCACAGAAGGTGATTCGGTGCTTTTAAAATGCTAAGCTAACCTACATGCGTAAATACATAGATACACAGATTTACGTATGCCCTACATAAAGTGTTAGATGTGTCTTTTACATAGTGTCATTAATGTACATTCACAAAGGTGAAATGTAATTCTGATCAGCTTCCATATATACTTTATACCCATACATATACATACACACACACACACATATACATACATATATACACACACACATGCATTCACATACATTTGTCTCATTTACTCTGACAGGGTGAGGTAGCTGATAAAGAAAGTAGTGTGCAATTAAGCACTTAATCACTGAAGGTGATGAAGGTGCTTTTACAAGCTCAGGTTATATAGTTACATCATATATATACATTGTATGATTGATATATTACATGGTCAATCTTGGATACAAGTCCAATATATCATCAAGTGTTCCAGTACTCATATAGTAATTACAGAGTTCAGCATACCTTAGCCCAGGAGGGCGAAAGTCAGTCAGTATGGGACATTCTACAATATAATGTTCAAGAGAGTGCATGTTTTCTCTTTCACAAAGTTGACACATTGTGTACTCGACATTTGGGTTTTGAGAAAGCTGCCAGATACGTCTATATCCCAGGCGTATTCTGGTCACTATAACATCACATTGCCGGGTTCTTGTTCTATTAGTCCCATATGTGAATGTCTCCTCACGATATCTATCATAATATTTAATGCTACAACTTTCAGGTCTTTGAGAATTTGTTAGGTCGGTGAGATTTTCATTAGATATTTGTTTAAGTATTCTCTTTGTCACTGCTAATGAAACACCCATATCAATTTCTACCACTGGTTTTCTGCAGACTGACTTAGCAAGCATATTAACAGTGTCATGCCTTGAGATGCCAACATGTGATGGTATCCATAGGAATTTAATCTCAAATCTGTTTTCTTTGGCAGCTAAAACATTTATTCGAATATCACTGACTATTTTCTGGGTGTCACTACTATGTGCGTTCAATGCCAGGAGTGCACTCTGCGAGTCACAGTATATAAGTCCACTGCCTTTGTCTTTTAAAAATTCAGTGGCAAGGTATATGCCTGCAAGTTCGGTTTGAGTCGTACTTGCCCAGTCATTGACGCGCTTCATTGCTGTATGTACGAGAGAAGATTGTTCAAATATATTTCATGCACATCCGGTACATCGTCCACCTTCTTCTACAGAGCCGTCGGTGTAGCATTGATAAACATCGTTACCCATACTCTGATTACTTTCAGTGATGCTTTTCAGTGTTAACTGTTTTAATAATGTAGTGTGCACACTATCTTTCTTGGACGCATTTACAAAATCAACTAATAGATCCCAGTTATCCCATGGAGTAATTGGCTAATTAATCATTAGTTGAGTTGGGTACATATTTAATATTTTGATGAAGTTGGCTACCTTGTAGAACCAATATACATAATCAGATTTCGTTCTTCTTCTATAGACCTCAGGTGAGTGCAGCATATTAGAAAGTTTAGCTTGAAACTTCATGTGTTGTCTAGATCTACTCAATGCCTTCACGCCGAAAACTGTGCTAATAGACAAAATTCTCTCACTTATGGTAGGTAATTTTAACTCTGCTCTCATATTAACTATTCTCGTGGACTTTGGAGCCCCAAGGATAAGACGCATAGCTTCATTTTGCAAGGTTTCAAGAGATTTCAGCTCTTTGTCAGTATACAGTGTGAGATGTAGAGCATTGTAGTCAATCACAGAGCGTATAAATGATACATAAAACATTCTAGCAAGTCTCACGTTAAGTCCATGATTGACACCAACAAGGACCCGCAAGGGCTTTAATCTCTCCCAAAGTCTCCTCTTGAGAAAAGAAAGGTACCCAGGGTCGTTAATGGGGACACCAAGGTATCTGTAAGACTCGCAGTTCTCAAGTGCTCGCCCATCTATATGATAATTGGCTGGTGGAATACCACATGGAATGAGGGCACGAGTTTTCTGTACAGAGATAAGGAGGCCTCATTCCTCAGCTCTAGTAGCAAAAGCGTCGAGCAGAACTTGCATTCTAGGCTCGGTGGCAGCCTGTAAACATATATCATCAGCATAACAAATGACAGTGTCTTCATTATCAGTTGGAAGATCTTTAATAAGTTTATGCATCAGAACGTTGAACAACAAGGGGCTGAGGACCCCTCCTTGTGGAGTTCCCAGTTCAAAGTGTTTGCTCTCTGCGCTTTTAACACCATTAAACAAAACATATGCTGTTCGATTAGACAAATAGCCCTTTATCCATTTCAGTAATTTTCCTTGTATTCCCAGCTCGGCAAGCTGTTCCAGTATGATTTCTCTGTTTGCTGTATCAAAAGCTGCTGCTAGGTTGATGAAGACTGTTTGAGGGGAAGCTTCAATATGTGCGAAGTACTCAGCAAAACAGTATTGTGTACTGAGCCCAGGCATAAATCCAAACAGTTGGGGTGACAGGTGCCCCTGTATACGATACATGAGCCGGTTAAGAACAATACGTTCAAGCACTTTGCAAACACACGATGTTAGAGATATGGGTCTATAATTATCTGAGTGTGGTTTGGGGATGGGAACAATGACACTCTTTGTCCAAGCATCAGGTAATACTCCTTCACTTAAACTCATTCTGTACAACACTAATAATGGATTACCTGGTACGTGTGAGACTAATCTCAGTAGACTGTAAGTAATACCATCCTCTCCAGGAGCAGTTGATTTTCCCATCTTTAGTGCATGATGGATGCCTTGTTAGGGGCTTTGTTGCTCTTATTTACCTGCACAGTCTTGTTCCTGGGGAGACATGATAGGTCGAGGATGACTGGAGTATATGTTGTGGCGGAAACTTGCGTCAGGCAGCGCGGTGGTGGGCAGCATGCACTGGTACTCACCGCCAGAGAGGATTGTTTTGAATTTAGTTTGCGATGAAATGAGTCGATTTGGGTTGGTTACTTTGATTGTGCTATGACATGCTTGGACTCCATGTACTTAGCTGCCTGTGGGTGGCGGTCTACATCATCTAAAGGTATGCATCTATATGGAATGCACTAAGCTGTGATGTGGTGGAGGCTGACTCCATACACAGTTACAAATGTAGATATGATAGAGCCCAGTAGGCTCAGGAATCTGTACACCTGTTGATTGACAGTTGTGAGACAGGACCAAAGATCCGAAGCTCAACCCCCGCAAGCACAACAAGTTGAGTACAGTTTGGCAACAATGCATGTTCTGTGATAAGAAACACTTGTTCACTGAGAATTATACTACTGTATATGTAATGTAGTATTGCCAAGTAAAACTTATCTATATATGATTTATATTGTATTTTTTTAAATAAAGATAAAGAAAAATGAATAATATTGCATGCTCCCACGACGGCAACACCAACTGTTCTCATGAGATAAACACCCCGTACAGTGTTGCCAATGTCTGGTACACTACACCCCGTACAGTGTTGCCAATGTCTGGTACACTACACCCCGTACAGTGTTGCCAATGTCTGGTACACTACACCCCGTACAGTGTTGCCAATGTCTGGTACACTACACCCCGTACAGTGTTGCCAATGTCTGGTACACTACACCCCGTACAGTGTTGCCAATGTCTGGTACACTACACCCCGTACAGTGTTGCCAGTGTCAGGTACACTACACCCCGTACAGTGTTGCCAGTGTCAGGTACACTACACCCCGTACAGTGTTGCCAATGTCTGGTACACTACACCCCGTACAGTGTTGCCAATGTCTGGTACACTACACCCCGTACAGTGTTGCCAATGTCTGGTACACTACACCCCGTACAGTGTTGCCAATGTCTGGTACACTACACCCCGTACAGTGTTGCCAATGTCTGGTACACTACACCCCGTACAGTGTTGCCAATGTCTGGTACACTACACCCCGTACAGTGTTGCCAATGTCTGGTACACTACACCCCGTACAGTGTTGCCAATGTCTGGTACACTACACCCCGTACAGTGTTGCCAATGTTAGGTACACTACACCCCGTACAGTGTTGCCAATGTCTGGTACACTACACCCCGTACAGTGTTGCCAGTGTCTAGTACACTACACCCCATACAGTGTTGCCAGTGTCTAGTACACTACACCCCGTACAGTGTTGCCAATGTTAGGTACACTACACCCCATACAGTGTTGCCAGTGTCAGGTATACTACACCCCGTACAGTGTTGCCAGTGTCAGGTACACTACACCCCATACAGTGTTGCCAGTGTCTGGTACACTACACCCCGTACAGTGTTGCCAATGTCTGGTACACTACACCCCGTACAGTGTTGCCAATGTTAGGTACACTACACCCCGTACAGTGTTGCCAATGTCTGGTACACTACACCCCGTACAGTGTTGCCAGTGTCTAGTACACTACACCCCATACAGTGTTGCCAGTGTCTAGTACACTACACCCCGTACAGTGTTGCCAATGTTAGGTACACTACACCCCATACAGTG